GTGCAAGGGCAAAAGATTAGTATGCTTAGATTTGCAGATGATATAGCAGTATTAGCATCTAGCAAGGAGGACCTAGAGATAGCTTTAAATAAAATGGAAGCGGTACTGACAGATCAGTACTGTATGAAAATAAATAAAAGTAAAACTAAAATACTGGTATGCAAGGGAAGAAAAAGTAGGGAAAGAGCGAATATAAAGATAGGAGATGAAAAATTAGAAGAAGTGGCTGATTTTAGATACCTAGGAAGTCAGATAAGACAGGATGGAAGGAGTAGTAGGGATATAAAGCAGAGGATAGCACAGGGTCGTGTCGCCTTTAATAAAAAGAAGTCACTTCTATGGTCGCGAACGGTTAATTTAGAAATTCGAAAAAGGTATATGTTTGGAGCACGGCATTGTACGGGTGCGAAACATGGACAGTGGGAGCGGCGGAAAAGAAAAGATTAGAAGCTTTCGAAATGTGGTATTATAGGCGGATGATCAGGATACCATGGATAGAGAAGGTTAGAAATGAAGAGGTATTTGAAAGAATAGGAGAACAGAGGGCTCTATGGAAGTCAATAAGAAATAGGCGAGATAGGTTGGTAGGACACCTTCTCAGGCATGAAGGTCTAGTCAGAGACATATTAGAGGCAGAAACAGGAGTTAGGAGGGGTAGAGGTAGACCTAGATTAGATTACTGTTCGCAAATAGTTAAGGATGTGGGCTGTTCTAGTTTTAGGGAAATGCGAAGTTTAGCTCAGGATAGGAAAGAGTGGAGGTACGTGTCCAACCAGTCTTAGGACTGACGACCTTATGATGATGATGTTATATAAGAATCAGGTAGCATACAGTATTACCAATAGCATGATCTTGAATTACAATTATTTAGGAAAAATAGCTTCTATACTTACTAACATTCCTGCATCGACCAATTCTCCTGCGATAGCTGCCCCGCAGCCTGCACTAGCCCCTGTTACTATTGCAACTTTCCCTACCCATCTTTCCATCGAAAGAACCATTTTTGTTGAATAAAACTTTAATATAATGAAAATGAAATTCCTTTACATCCAACTGATTAGGTTCAACGGACAAATTCGACTAATTTACATAGCCAAACCTTGAAATTGTGTACACCGTCATTGAAAGCCTTTCTCTTTATTACGTATAAGTAATAAGACATTATCTCCTTATATACTATCAAAAATAATTCGATATATTGGAATAATAATTTGTACTAACAATTCAGTTATATTTACAAAACTTGTGAAGAAATTGTTATGTATTGATAAAGTTGTGTTCTGTTTGTTTTAAGACTGTGTAATTATAGTCAAAGTAATTGCATGTATGATAAATTGTGTATTACTCATATAGGTTGTATTACGTAAAATGAAAGTTTTAGCTAGAGGTCACGTAAAAAGCTTCGGCTACGTTAATAGCAACTGTTTTAAGTTCATTAAATGATTCAGATTTTAATTGATATTTTTAAAAGTATTTGTTTCATAACCTTTCTGCTATTATTTGTAGTTAAAAATTATATCTAGGTTTCGAGTCGAAGTTGAATCATTATTTATTAAAAAGGAAATGCAGGGTAGGAAAATACATGACAAAGGGTGATTTCAGATAAAATCAGTTCTAGTATATTTGCCGCGATGGTTTCTATAAACTTTTAAATAGTTTAGACACCACATTTTGCTAATTTTTACAGTTGCAATTTGACATTTACTTGTTATTCTGGTGAGAATTTTTTTCATTTATTTGTGTATTTGTTTTGTTGCTGAAACAATTGATAGGTGTATCAAACAGATTTTTAGGGGCGAACTTCTACGATGAAATTAAACAAATATTTTTACTGTAAAAAAACTTGTATTTAAATTTCTTACGTTTAGCACAGCCACAAGAGTATATTTTTTGAGGAATTATAAAAATTTTGATTTTGTAGTTTCCTTATACTTTTTTGGAATTCCGTTTTTTATTAATGTATGATAACTACTTTTCGCAACGGCATATATCACAAACAATAACACTCATGTACAAATACATCATTTACTTAAAACTACTACAAAAAAAAAATATTTGAACAACAACTTTTTCGTATTTTACACTTATCTACGCATTAAGTAATTTCAAATCATCATGAGAGGGCGATGTTTTTTTTTCTATCGTATTAGAATTGTCTTTATTATCGAAATAAATTAACCCCGCTACAACCCCCTGAAATCCTGCATTATAATCTAAAGTAACTTCGTTGTAAAGAAATTCTTCTCTGCTGTCTTCGTAATAATCATTTTCGTCCGGCCCACTAACAACAGCCCCATAAAGAATTTGGGGATTAGGGTCCTTTGAATGGTAATTGTCCCAACCACAGGGGAGGGGGCGATCAGGGCAAGAACTAAACGTAAAACAAGATCAAATGGTCGCTATTTTTTCAGCAAAAATATTCAACGATTGAATAACCGAAGAAAATTATTAAATGTTGTCTTACCTTGCTGAATGATGGGGTTTCCTGGGGTAATTTTTACCATATCCAACAACGAAACTTCTACCAGCAGAACCAAGAACATAATCAATTTGTTCTCTTGCAAAATTAACAAAATTGCTTCCATATTCTTCTATTTCAGAGGCCTGTTATGTATTATATTAAATAATTTGTTATTATTGCATTGACAAGGTGCAGAATTTATAAATAATTTTTGTCCTACCTGTAAACAAACGAAGGCTACGTTTGCCGCATGCGATAGTGTACCGAATTTGTCTATATAAATCAACCCCTTTGGGGTACGCTTTTGATCATATATGGTAAAGTTGCAAAAGTTAAGTATAGCGTTGTTATATTCCGGTCTTTTAGTTTCTAACGCCAAAAGTAACTAAAAGATTTGAAATATCTGGTGAATGAACTAATAATTAGATAGAATTTAAAGTAAATACTTTATTTACTTTACTTACTTGCAGTCCGGCGACTTTTTTATTATAGAAAAATTCATTTGGTCTTTCTTTAAGTCGAAATTCTGTATAATATTGTTCTGCTTGTTCTAAATATTTTAATTTTCTTGTTGCTTTGTATAACCATATTGCAGCCCAGGTTATTTCATCCCCGTATCCAGAAACCCTGCATGGTGTAAAATAATTATTTACAAGTTTAAAAACCACACGATTCGATTCGTTGTGAAATTCTAAGAAACTTTTCCCTTTACAGTTTTTCGATTCGATTTGTAGTTATTCGTTTATTAAGAGTTAAAGATTGACCAATCAGGCGATACTTCTTTTGCTGCAAGCGGAACTGGGCGTTGTCGTACTTCTGCTTGCAGCGGAGTAAGCGCGCTGTGATTGGTCAACCTTTTAAGCGTAAGTAACTCAGTAACAGTTTGTCGGATCAAAAAACTGTAAAGGGAAAAGATTCGTAGAATTTCCCATAGCATCGATCGGTGCGTATAATTTTTCCGAAACACAGTGTATTGTTGCAATAATCGCGAGTCACTGACGATACTTACTCGTAAAATTTTTTAGCACCAGGTATAACGTCGTTGTATAAACCCCTGTAGGTGGTTGCAAAGTCAAATAACTCTTCTGCATGTTTTAGAATAATATCAGCGTATGTTTTGTTGGTTTCTCGGAATACCAGGCTTGAGGCAGCCAATGCGGCTGCTGCTTCCCCGGCCAAGTCCGAACCTGCAAATCTTGTAACTTTATATTCACTTTCGTACTGAGAAAATACTCAAAGCAAAATTCTATTTCATTTATTAACAATTGACAATCAACATATTGTAATATAAGCACATAAGAAAGACTTTTTGAGAGAGAATTATTGATGAAGCAAATGCATTGTATTGAATGTGTTCGTGTATGCGAGTATTAGAACGACCTTGGAACAGTATGTACCTATTGTAAAAACAAGTTAAAATTCTCGTAACGCACTGAGCTTACTCTTTTTTTATTTAAAACAGTGATAAACTATAAATAATTTAAATAGCGCAGCAGTCGTTCCAAGAAATCGATCGACACCTCACCTGGATGATCTTTATCAATTTTATAAGCAGGCCTTGACATGTTTAAGTCCTCGGGTCTTCCCCAGAACCTGTGGTCCGTACTGAAATCGCCCACTTGACCGTAAAACTCGTACGCGCTTGGGTGACATTTCACGAAATAATCAGTCGCCCATTTGACAGCTTCCAACCCATATTTATATTGACCTACAAATTATATATGTATGTTAAAGTCTGTAGAGCGTTTGTCACACCGTGTAAGTATATTACCTGCATATTTGTACGCATCTTTGTATGAAAGCAATCCCCACGCCAAGAGGGTTGTACTGAAGGTCATGGTAAATCCAAATTTGACAAAATCGCTCGCTAAAAGAAAATTAAATATCAACAATTTTCGGGCCCTATACCCAATTTTTTTTTTGTCTGGGATAAATTTACCATCATAATAACCCCCGCTTAAGTCCTCTCCGTTTTGTCCTGTATCGTGGAGGGCAGAGTCCCCCCTCCAAGGGATTCTGTTGTCAGGTGGCAAAGGGCCGCTCCTTTGGGCTTCGTAAAAAAGTAGTGACAAACTTAGGGCTTCCTTGTAGTCATACTTTTCGTTAAACGGCAATGTGTTGATTGGCGAGTAAATTTTGAAAGAAAGAACCAGGAAGATGCTGGGCAAAGATTTTAACTGGAACCGATGGAATAAAGTCATAAAATTTGAATAAGTAGGTAACTGACGTAACTTAATGTAGTATGATTATCATATTAAGTACTTTATTTGTCCGTTTCGTTTTTGGAATTAACTCTAAATGTCAAATATCTTTTAAAATAACAAGGTAAAATGGAAAGATACTTTTGTTTATACGAGGGTGGATTGATAAGTTTCCGGCCTGACCAAGAAAAACAAGGTTTTTAAAAATNTTAGTTATAAAGACTTTGTGTTAAACAAAATTCCAATATGCAAATGGATAGTTGTTTATAACTGGAGAAAAAATTTGCCGGGAGATGTCATAAGTGGGCTAACAGTCTCGGTGATGCATATGTCCCAGGTACGAGTTTACCCTTATCAAGTAATTGACGGTATGTCGCCATCTGTCGGCATATACTAAAAGCAATTAGCAGCAAATGTCTACAGACGTTGATATACTGCTATGTAAATTTCATATTCGTTAGCGTAGGTTTTGCCAGTGATTTCTTAAAACTACCAGTGATGTGCTGATGAGAACTAATAAGTTCTCTCCGTTCGTATTCGATAAACTTTCGGCCATGAACTCAATGGTTTAAATTAAACGGATTAAGGGTCATGTAATTCTTCTTGAACCACCACCGAATATTTTTTAAGGGTATGGCGTATGCTTTGCTGGGACATGTGCCCCCTGTAACCGGTATTTATATGGCTTTTGTACCATTAATGGTTTACGCCATTTTCGGAACTTCTAGACATTGTTCTATGGGTAAAAAGGTCAAAATATTTTTATGCCTATAATTTTATGTTATGTCGGGTTTTTTTCAGGCACTTTTGCTGTCGTATGTTTAATGACAGGGTCGATCGTCGAGAAATACGCGAACGCGAAAGAATTACGAAATGGTACCGTAATCCCTGAAGGTGATTTCGGTGAAAACGAAACGTTGTATACGAATATAGATGTGGCGATTGCAGTATCGTTGGCCGTGGCGTTTATTCAGGTCCTTTTAAATTTGAATTTTCTGTAAACATTTTATGTAGAGGGTAAACCGTTTTTGGGTTTTTAGTTGGGCATGTTTGTTCTTCAAATGGGCATGGTTGCTAATCTCTTTTCGGAAGCCTTGGTAAGCGGTTTTACCTGTGGGGCAGCCATGCATGTGTTCACTTCCCAATTGAAAGAATTATTAGGGGTTCCCATCAGAAGAAGATCCGGAATTTTCAGAATTATTTTGGTAAACTGTTATTTAGTTTAGTTTTAGTTGGGGTGTGTGGACGATGGGTTAATCGGCTCATTCTTCTTTAAATTATTTATAAGATTTCAAAAAAAAAAATCATTTTTTCTAGGTATTGAAAGACGTTTTTACTGCGATTCCTCAGGCCAACGCAATTGCTGTAACAATCTCAGTCGTCTGTGTAACATTCTTGATGTTATGTGACATATTTTTGAAAGTAAGAAACACAATTGTTTCCCTTGTTAACATCACTACTTAATTTTTGTAACCCGTTGCAGCCGTATTTGGCCAAAAAGACAATAATACCGTTTCCCGCGGAACTTTCCGTTGTCATCTTAGGCACTGCAATGTCTTACAGCTTGGATCTAAATCAAAAACGTAATGTCAATATTATAAATTACATACCTCTTGGGTAAATACATGATTATGCTCTCGGGTCAGTTTCAGAAGGCGAAGTCGGTAGTAAAACATTAGATTTATATTAGAAGAAAGTTAAATTACTACAACAACATACATAATTCTTCTTCTCAAACCTGTACCCTTGTTGTAGAGTATCCTTTCCCAAAAAAAATTGAGTCTTACATTTTATTGCGAAGATCGCCTTCTTAAGCTGACCCATCTGTACTTTTCATTTCGTGTGATATTTTAAGGCGTAGACCGTAAAATTTTGCTAGTATTCCAGCCCCTATACTTCCCTCAATTGAAATGGTAAAAAGGGTAACCTTAGAATCGATAGCTGTGACCATTGTGTCTTACGCCATTGCAATTTCGATGGTTCTACTTTTAGCCCAAAAGGTTGGCTATGAGACTGACGCCAATCAAGAGATTTTAGCTCTGGTAATAAACAATGTGTACCGGTGTACCCAATAATCCATAATGAAAATATCGGTTTTTTGAATAGAGTTTAAGTAATTTGGCGGGTAGTGTGTTTCAATGTATGCCTGTGTCCGCGTCGTTATCAAGATCGTTTATACAGATGAACACCGGGGGAAGTACGCAGATGGCGACTTTAGTGTCTTGTTTGGTACTTTGTATGGTACTTCTTTGGATTGGGCCACTTTTTGAACCATTACCACTGGTAAGATATTTCGAACAGTTTTTAGATACCATTTTATTTCATTCACAAATATCGTTGTTTTTATCTCCTCCGTCGTTTAATATCGGCTTCATAGGGGTACAATTTTTATATTTTTTCATCTATTAAAATTATATTTTTATTTCAGAGCAAATAGTAATTGATTTTTTATCGATTAAAGTATTAAATTAGAGTATATTAATTGAGATTGTGATTATTACTGGTTTAGGCTATACTATCAAGTGTGGTGGTGGTTGCTTTAAGGCGTATGTTGCTTCAAGTTAGGGACATCAAAAGATTTTGGTTAGGGAACATATGGGACGGTTTGACCTGGATCGTGTCATTTTTTGTCACTGTAATTGTTGATGTCTCGATTGGTTTAGCTGCAGGGATTACTGTAAACGTTTTGGGCCTTGTGGTCCGCGGTTACAGAGGAAACCAGTATATTTTGGGAAATGTTCCTAATACGGACCTGTACGAGGACATTAAAAGACATAAAAAGGTAGATTACAGAGCGCTTTTTGTTCACAACGGGCTTTATCTTTGGAGGAGGTTTTTATAAAATTTTTATTCAATATCCAATTCTTTTTAAAGATGTATAAGAATTTTTGGGTTTTTGGGGTATATGTTACACCTCACGGCATATACCCATAGAACCCGTTTGAGGCTACCCAATCCCATGATTTCTTTTGTGGGTAACGGATGCCCAAACGGGTGGAAAGTGAGGTAGAGGGATGCTTGAGTATTTAAATGTATACTTAAGTATACCCTCGGGGTTACTTAACTAAAGTGGTAAATACGTTTGTACCACTGAAGTAACCTAACCTTATTCCCTGACTAATATAATCTTTCATTCTCTTCTGTCTTCATTTCGTCCGTCTCATCTTTCTCACCCGAACCACCACCCACCCATTCCCACGATTCCTAAAAGGATGCTGAAGAAGGCCTTCCGGCGTAGTTCAAAAGTTAAGTTTTTTGAAAATTAATACATTTTGTAGTGTGTGGAATTTGAGGGTTTGAAAATTTTTCGGTACGCTGGTTGTATACAATTTTTAACGAAATTGAGATTCAGAAACACCCTGTTTGAGGCCGTTGGGATCAATCCCCTAGAGATTTTGGATAGGCAACAGAGAAAGAAGAAAGTGGACGACGAATTAGAAAATTTCGATATTTATTGCGTTATTGTGGACATGTCTTCGGTGCCCTATGTAGACCCTTCAGGTGTTATACTTATTGACTATTGCATAAAGGATTATAGGAAAATTGGTATTGAAGTTCTTTTGGCCTGCTTGACTGGTTGGTACCATTGTTTTATTTTAAATATCTTTTTAATTGTGGGACAGATTGTATATATATGATTATTTTTTAAAACAGGACCGTAATAGTTCAATTTTGCAGCTATAAAATATTTATCAGTCGAAAATTTGGTGGAGGCGCCTGGTAGAATAACCTTTTGTTTATTTAAACCAATTTCTAGACTAGTAGGTACTAATAGTTAGTTTTATGGTCGAAAATATTGTTTTCAGGTGCAGTTTTCGAAGAGATACAAAAGTGTAAAAGAAATGGTTCAATTAAAGAAAATTTCGGAATTTTCGTTACTATTCATGACGCCGTGATCTATGCCCAAGCTGTTCTTAAAAAATAGGTATTCATATTAAAAATAATAATAACAATAATAAAATGCTTTAGTTTTTATTGATTATGTGTTCAGGACTGCTACAAAAAAATACAGGATCAATATTGAGTCAAAGAATATATTCTGCAATGTTTTTTTTAGACTATTTCACCAACAGGTCTAATAGTTAGTTCTTGTACCTAGAAATAATTCCATAATCGGTACATTTCTTGAATGTCCTTATCATTAAACTTACCAAAACATGCGGCGGTGTTGACAGCACATAAATTACAGCGTCTGCCACGTCCTCAGACAGAAGTTTCGGCATTGCTTCAAAAAACTCCTCAAACTTTTCATCGACAATCAATTTATTGGCTTTTGCGAATTCTGTATCGACCGGACCTGGACTCAAACTCTGCAATTTTCGTTAATTGAAAACAATAATCATTTTTATTTACTATCGTATGCTACAAAGTTACTGAGTTACAGAGTTAGAAGAGTGATATTTAGTTTGTATAAAGAGCAACAGGCAGTTATAGAGCTGGGGCTTCAACTTAGAGAAGTAGATGTTAGGAAGGGAGTCATACAGGGATTCACACTGTCATCGCTACTTTTTAATCGATACATCGAAGACCCGATCAACAACATTAAGGACAGTACAACTGTAGGGTAGATATACAGGGGTTAAAGATTTGTGTGCTTAGACTTGCAGATGATGTAGCAGTATTAGTATCTAGCAAGGAGGAGTTAGAGATAGCTTTACATAAAACGCAAGCGGTATTTACAAAATAGTACTGTATGAAAATAGATAAAAGTAAATCAAAAATACTAGTATACAAGGGAAGAAAAAGTAGGGAAAGAGTGAATATAAAGATAGGAGACGAAAAATTAGAAGAAGTGGCTGATTTTAGGTATCTAGGAAGTCAGATAAGTCAGGACGGAAGGAGTAGTAGGGATATAAAGCAGAGTATACCGCAGGGTGGAGTCGCCTTTAATAAAAGGAAGTCTTCTATGCTCGCGAACGGTTAATTTAGAAATTCGAAAAAGATTGTTAAAGGTGTATGATTGGAGCGCGGCGCTGTACGGGTGCGAAACATGGACAGTGGGCGCGGCGGAAAAGAAAAGGTTAGAAGCGGTCGAAATGTGGTGTTACAAGCGAATGATGAGGATACTGTGGATACGGAAGGTTATAAATGGAGAGGTATTAAAGAGAATAGGAGAACAGAGGATCCTATGGAACTCAATAAAAAAATAGGCGAGATAGTTTGGTAGGATACCTTCTCAGGTATGAAGGTCAAGTAAGGGACATATTAGATGCAGAAATACAAGTTAGAAAGGGTACAGGTAGACCTAAATTAGATTACTGTTCGCAAATAGTTAAGGATGTGGGATGTTCTAGTTTTAGGGAAATTTTAAGATTAGCTCAGGATAGGAAGGAGTGGAGGTGTGTGTCCAACCAGTCTTAGGACTGACGATGTTATGATGATGATGATCGTATGCTATAACTTACTGTAACTCTAATTTTTGAGTTGATGAGATTCAGTTCCTGTCTCAAAGTTTCTGTCAGAGCAGTAACGGCGAACTTGGAAGCGGGATAGACGTTGAGGTCGGGAACATGGGCCACATAATGTCCCAGGACGCTATTTATATGAATCACATGACCGTCGATGTTGTTTTTCCTCATCCTTCGAACGGCTTCTTGGGTTGCAATACAAAGACCTAATACATTGGTATGAAACACTTCGATCCACGATTGGGGAATCCCCTCCAGCAAATTTGCAGGTTTGGCAATACCTGCGTTGTTAATTAGTACGTGCACGTCGCCTAGATTTTGGTCAATCCATTCGAAAGCCGATATGATGTCTTCTTGTTTGGTTATGTCGGCTTTTAGAGGGTAAAATTTACCCTTTCGTGCTTCTAAAGCAGTTGCCAGAGCAGATAGCTTTTCTAACCTTCGAGCTAGACCAACCACCTGCAAAAATCAATCCCAGTTTTTAGTACTCGTTTTATACTTATACATAAAATCAACATTCGCCCTCTCTCCCCGAACGTAACAGGACTGAAACGCGTAGCCTAACCTTCCCTCTCTTTAGCATATTTCAATTTTAAGTAAAATCGTAAATGTTGGCCCCCCTCTCATTACCCATTCAGGAAAACCGCAGTTCAACTGACTGAAAATAACTTTTTGTGTTATTAAAGACAGTACAACTGTAGGGATAGATGTGCAAGGGCAAAAGATTAGTACATATGCTTAGATTTGCAGATGATATAGCAGTATTAGCATCTAGCAAGGAGGAGTTAGAGATAGCTTTAAATAAAATGGAAGCGGTACTGACAGATCAGTACTGTATGAAAATAAATAAAAGTAAAACTAAAATACTGGTATGCAAGGGAAGAAAAAGTAGGGAAAGAGCGAATATAAAGATAGGAGGCGAAAAATTAGAAGAAGTGGATGATTTTAGGTGTCTAGGAAGTCAGATAAGTCAGGACGGAAGGAGTAGTAGGGATATAAAGCAGAGGATAGCGCAGGGTTGAATCGCCTACAATAAAAAGAAGTCACTTCTATACTCGCGAAGGTTTAATTTAGAAATTCGAAAAAGGTTGTTAAAGGTGTATGTTTGGAGCACGGGGCTGTACGGGTGCGAAACATAGACAGTGAGCGCTGCGGAAAAGAAAAGGTTAGAAGCGTTCGAAATGTGGTGTTATAGGCGGATGATGAGGATATCGTGGGTAGAAAAGGTTAGAAATGAAGAGGTATTGGAAAAATAGGAGAACAGAGGACTCTATGGAAGTCAATAAAAAATAGGCGAGATAGGTTAGTAGAACACCGTCCTAGGCATGAAGGTCTAGTCAGAGACATATTAGAGGCAGAAACGGGAGTTAGGAGGGGTAGAAGTAGACCTAGATTAGATTATTGTTCGCAGATAGTTAAGGATATGGGTTGTTCTAGTTTTGGAGAAATGCGAAGATTAGCTCAATGTCCAATCAGTCTTAGGACTTATTATTTAGTTATTTATACACATAACATAGTATATTTTACAATGTAATACATGTTGATATGTATGACCAAAAAACGATGATGTGAGATTTAGTAATCCATCAATAAATTCAAAAGCTATGTAATTACATCCAAATTATTGTACTTTGATGTCATGTTCATTAGATGGATGAGTTAGTACCAAACTGGTTTAATGATCATCAAAGTCATCAAACCCGGTTGTAGATTGTTTTTTTTTTTGACACCTTGCAATAATTAAAAGACTGTTGACTTTGATGTAACGCTGTTAAATCATTTTTCAATACTTTTTTTCTGTGCTACATCATGGATTTCTGTTTTACAATGTGTTTTCACGGTCAACGCGACATAACTTTTGCTTTTTCATCACAAATTCCTCGACGACATACACAACACGTAAAAGTAGGACGACAATATTGTCGTTGTTGTTCTCGTTTTTTTTTTTGCAACAAACAAACGAAAACACAAAACACAAACTGAATGCGTTGCCATGCAACAAGAAATAGTTTCGAAAGTTTCATCGCTATCTAGAGTCGCTTCACGTTCGCGATTTCCGTGGTTTATGAGTGACGTCATGATGTCAGGTCTCTGCAAAAAAGTGTCGAATGCATTCGCGAAAACCTCGCGTTCCACGAGTTCCACGAAAGAAATCGCTTGTACGAACGCAAAATGCGATGATTTGACCTTATAGAAAACAATGAAGATGAATCAAATGCTATGTACAGAAACACATGTGTTGTGCGCAAAAATAATTTGCTTGCACCGCAATAAAAAAAAAGTTTGGAAAGTTTATTTAATCGTAAAACAAACTTGTAAAGTTTTTTTAATAATAATTTCCAAAATTAGGATCAAATTGTGGAACTGAAATAAATAAATACGTGTTAAAAATCATCGACGACCACATAAAACNGAGTTCCACGAAAGAAATCGCTTGTACGAACGCAAAATGCGATGATTTGACCTTATAGAAAACAATGAAGATGAATCAAATGCTATGTACAGAAACACATGTGTTGTGCGCAAAAATAATTTGCTTGCACCGCAATAAAAAAAGTTTGGAAAGTTTATTTAATCGAAAAACAAACTTTTTTTTAATAATAATTTCCAAAATTAGGATCAAATTGTGGAACTAAAATAAATAAATACGTGTTAAAAATCATCGACGACTACATAAAAGGAATTGTTCTATCCCCCGGGAACAGTATCTTTTTTCTGGATAAAAAGTACCCTATGTCCTGTACTGTATCCTTAACAATGTGTGTACAAATTTTTATACTAATCGGTTAAGCAGTTGAGGCGTGAAATAGTAATAGACGAACTCGTTTTCGCGTTTATAATGTTAGTTAGAAACTACCACATAGACTTCTAATTAAAAGTCTTCCGACTATTTTTGCTTACCTTCAACAAGGTCTTGTTTTTTGCATTGGTATATATTTCTAATAATTACCAAACACACAGTGCTTGTGGTTTGCAAGTTACTGGTTTTTTCTCTTATTGCTTTTGATTGTTTGTAATACGTAACAATTAATTAAAAATTGTATTGACTCCAGCTACATTTCTTTCTTGCAGGAAATTCTGTTCACGTAATGTAAATCTAATATGTGAAACATCTTTCGATGTTTGTTGCTTTGTTATAATAATTAATCTTTAATATAAATATACAAGAGCGTGAATATTACTAATAACACAAATGTAAACTGAGTAAAATATGAGTTTTTCGTATTATTTCTGGAACATGAAGCATTATCGAGTTCTCATTGCAGTTCCCAGAAAAAAATTGCATGATACATTATGGTTTTCTTTTCAAATTTAAGGGAAATGAGGTTTTTTGTTCTCTTTATGTTCTTGAAACCATTTTATTATTGGTGGTAGTGTTTGACCAACGTACTCAGATACTACATTAACTCCGTTGTATAGTCTTTAAATTGAAAAATCATCTTACTAATTGACATCTAATTCCTACCAAACAATACCAGCGTCATTTTTTTTAACCAGGATTCTTTTTTTGCGTGACTTATTAATTTAATTGTGTGGGCGCAGATCCGTAGTAAAATCAACTACCATGACTTTAACCTTTCCCTTGTTGTGTAATTAGCCGAAATGAAACAAAATTTACTTTGCATATACTAATTGATACTTGTGTAGGTGCCTGCCACAATAATTGATATTTTAATTTATTTTATTTACAAGTGGATAGCTGAAATTAGTTTTGCGCAATTGTAAATAATTACAATACAATTT